AAATACTACTATATATAATACGTGATAATATAATAATAATGCATCTATTACTGCGCCGATCGGATATTGGTCCTTGGATCCTTCACCCTCTCCCCACCACACAACATGTCTCCAGCACTAAGAAATGTAGTCGATCGATTTTTTTGGGCTTATAGTGAATCCATAGAAACTACCGATGGGTCAGCAACTCTGAAATGTATACCTTCCTACACAGCAGCTTAAAAGCTAAAGTATAACCTAACACTAAATATATCATTTTAAGAGAATACTATTTTTTTTTTTTTTTTTACGACGCACTACCATTAACATACACACATTATATTCTACACTATTCATCATTTTTTACAATCGATGCGAGCTGCGCTTGTATCATTTATGTGATTTACATTTCAAAGAATATTACCTATTACATATTGATATTGTTAAATTTTCAAGGACATTAACACATGTTAGTGACCAGACATATATGCAGCTGGTATTTTATAAATATTATAATGAAAAATTTAATTTATACGTACACACCATGGAAATGCAAACAATCGTGTAATATTTATCTCTTAATAACTGAGATTAATATGGTAACCTAGTTCATATCACACGGATGAACACAATTATGGTTTTACAATCTTAAATTCTATGCATTTATATTTTTCTCCCAAAATTTACACGTGTTGAATTGTAGTCCATGACAGTACTCACGATTTCAACATTTGTACATCTCCAATGCATTGCTGTAGTGCTAGGCTGCTACAGGTTAAAAAAAAGTTGGTCGTAGAATATACATAGTATAACATAGAATAAGATCTGTTCGGTTTTCACGTAAAGTAAACCGATATTAATGATAAACGTATAATAATATAAGCATGTAAAACTTTATTAATAATCAGGATCTATCTTTCGTCACACGTAGACCACCAAAAAAGGGGAACTCGGTGCACGGCGACGGCCTAACCCACATGTAGTGAATTGCACGGTATAGATGACTTTTCCCACATGAACCTAGAGCGGGTGTGTTACGTGCACGGCCATCCTCATTTGGTAACGGTGGTCATATCGATGATGTACTTCTTTGACTACGACGATGACAGTCTTTCGATCGACGACAACGCACACATGTGTTTTATCCGGAGGGGCAGCAACAGCACGCACGCACGCACGCTGTCCTTCCGACGACGCCCACTCAAAAAGACAATACATCGTCTCCGCGCGTACACCGATCATTATATTATTATGTGTTGCTGTTGTTATTATTATTTTTATTATATATATATATATATATATATATATCCAATGATGAGGAAGAAAAAAATTCTATACGTATTATAATATGTGTCTCCGATTATCTCCACACACACATACACATGCGCGTGCGTGCACGCTCACAATGAAGGGCGTTGTCGCCTATTACGTCATATTAGAAGAAATAAAACGAACGCAGGATGCATGTACGAGAGTATTTATTCCAACGACGACGTGATACTTTTGACGCAAGGTGCAGGCTCCGAGCGTTGTTAATTAAAGGGCCACAATTTTGTCGTCTGGCAAAAGACAAAAACTCTTCGATGTACTAGTATGTTATACTAAGCGACGGTAACAGGATTGTTCTACGCAGAACGATATTTGCATACATACAATTTTGAGAAATTCGAAATATTGTTGATACTAAACTATTTTTAAGCTCGTTCTTTAGTCAGTTTTTAAAATAATACATGCGTGCAATTAGAAACAATTATAATTAAAAGAAAAAATGTTTCTTCTTTTTTTATACACCACTTATTGCATGTTCGGGTATTCAAATTACCATCGGTACTTAATAATATTGTGTTACAAAACGCAACTCGTCTAAAAACGAATTTTTTATACCACCCGTGCTATAACAATTCGTTAAAAATTCTCCAGCGAAAATGTGTATTATAAACTACGCATTAGAATTAAAACATTGAATATATAATAATATTTCAATAGTTAAAACATTATATACTATATGAATATACACTTTCTTATCCACCGTCTAAATTTCAAAAATAAATCTATATTTTTTAAGTTACATTACATTATACTATGTTTATTCTACTGTATATTTTTCAATAAGTTTAGACCGAATAATGAAAATTGCGATAGAATGCATTTTTACATCATTTTAAAAAAAAAACGAGTTCATCAACGATGGAATTTATACTGTTATATAGGTATATATGCAAGTATATGTATGACATGATTATAAATATGAAAAAAAGGATCATCTGTTACGTGCTTGTTCGAGTTGACTGAAGATCGCAGTCACGTTCGCGTCGTCTTCTACTTCGGTCACTGCTGTCCGTTTTTGGTGTTTTTTTTTCCGTGTTATTCTTATTTTTTGGACGTTAATTTTTTTTCATTACGGTCGTCTTCCGTTAATAATACTACGTGACGAACATGTACCCATCACTATAGGTACTTCTGTTCTTACTCTACACATACAACAACGGAAAAGTGTATATACATATACTATACACGCTATTGACAACGACACATAATGATGATAATAATAATAGTAATATTATTACTATTACTATTATTATTGTTATTATTATTATTATTATTATTATTATAACCTACAGGGTATGCGCATTGTCTTCAGCAGTGGTGGTGTTGACGTGCATGCGTTGTCTTTCGCGTCGGATGTGTTATGATGCCACCGGAGGCGGCAACTGTCTTACGTTTGCGAACGTGTATGTATGATAATACGAGTATAGTATAATATTATAATATGACACGAGGGAGTCTCGTGAACACACATGATTTAAGTCTAGTTGTATTTTAGACGACAGGATGAAGACGGATAGTCGGCGAATTCATCGAGAATTACATACGTATACGGTAAGAAATTATATACATACAGAGAGAAAGAGAGAGAGAGAAAAAGAAGAGTATACGTATGTACACAGGATGGAAATCGATTTTTCCCCAGTGTTTCGTATAACATAACACAAGGAAACATCACGGTCCACCCTGTATATATTATACACGCAGGAATGAAAAATAAGTGGAGGCGATTATTCGGTGAAACGCATTCAATTTTCTCCCATTGAAACTATCGATAACTCCCTGGCAACTGGCCGCTCTCAGACTGGTTTCGTAATAATATATAGATATATATATATATTGATGATCTATAGATATATATGTTTCTTCTTTCCTCAGTATATATATATATATATATATATATATATGTCTTATATACTCGTCGTATAACGATGTAGTGTTTTACGCAAGTCTGATTTAAACGAAAAAAGAAATACGCACGACATACTTATACCTAAATCTATACCCGCCAGATTTAACGATAGTTGATCACAAAACGTGGTTTTTTTAATTGAAAAAATTAACCGATTAAATCGAAAAAACAACGTCTAGAAACGATGTTACCTACATAACATTTTAATCAATTATTACTTAAACAATATCCGACGACCTTTCCACTGTTACAAAATCATAAAATACATCATATTAAGTACTTATGCTTACATAATACATAAATATACGTTGTTTGTGCTAAGTAGTTATGGAAATAAAAATAAATCTTTACATTTTTATGAAACCAATAATTACATAAAATAACATATGTTAATAAGAGGCAACCAGAATTTTCTTATTGGTACGCTTTTTGTTCATGCATTGTTTCTAATTTCCGGAAAATATACGGTTGTATATATAAATGTAATAATGATTAGTTAATGAACACTTCATTAAAAAATACTTACCGTTTTTTTAGGTTACTTTTAAATAAAATAAATGCTTTTAATTAAAATATTATCGAAATAAAAAAAATTGTATACATTATTAATTTTAAATTTGTATACAGGATCGTTGCCCAATGTTATTACTTAATGCTGTATAATTGAAATCACGCAACAATTTCAGCGGAACGAACGTAATTTTGATCGCCTTAATTCTTTATTTATTAATTAATTCTTCACTCAAAATAACATTTTCGATAAGATTTATCTCACTTCTGTGTGTACGTTTTTTCGATTTATACAAAATCAATGAGTTTATTGACTTGTTTTTTTTTTTTTATAAATAACTGTTCAGTTACAATACTTATTTATAGGCCCATACAATTTACGATAAGATATAATATACGCACAGTTTTTGTGTATAACGTAACATAACCTAAAAAGTAGTCAGTCTATGACAGTAATACAAGATATAAGTAGACAGGTATGCATGACATATCACGAAAACAATAGGCAATTTTTGCTAACCGTAACACATGAAAAAAACACATCCAAAGTAGTCCTCGAAGTAAAGTTTTTAGGTATTAAGATTCTTACATATATAATGCTCTGTACTACAGTCATTAATTTTTACTAGTTCATACACGACATTCATGAACAATGTATGAAGTAAAAATGATAATAAACAAAATTATCTCGAAGTAAAAAAAAAAAAAACAAAATGTGATCATTACTGCATTATTATGGTAGGCCATTATACATACAAACTGACCACGACCAACTGTTGAAATAGTTATCTTCTTATCCCATTCAAAACGTAATTATAGTTGAAAACTCTCTGATAAAAAAAGAGAAACCAAAATAATATCATCTCTCCCTTAGGTGAAAAAAACATCGACAACTTTCACTATTTCCGATCGACTGATTTTTGCGAATTGAAAAACTGTCTACCGGGTAAAAAACTCGATCTGAGGGATTAATGAAGCAAAAAAATATCCATTAGAATAAATTAATTCGTTAATTTTTCCACTAATTTTTCCTACACTTTAAAAAAATTATACATCTAATACTATTCAACCGTGATTCAACCACATTTTGTGAAAACTAAAAACATATTTTAAAAGTAGTTACTTTCGCATTAAATTAATAAATACAAATAACTTAATACATTAATCGAATTCTTAAGAAAATAAATACGTTTTTACTTGAGCAATAATCAACTTTAATATTTTTCACTTCAAATTTTATTTTATGATATATTTATGTGTTCAATATATTTACCTTGGTTCGATTGATAGGATTGGTAAAGTCTCGCCCAGGCGCTACGAATAAATATCCACATTTTACAGCCTTCCTGGTGGCCTGAAATAAAAATTGTACTTATATTATAATAGATACAAAAATACATTGAATTTAATATGCATTTATAATAATAGTTCATTAACTATCATACTATTAACTACATAATATATTGCTTAGGACATTTTTTTCAACTCATAACTTTTCACAAATACAATTACAATAAATATATTTTAATTATTATATAATTTATAGCGATTTAATCATACTAATTAAAAAAAAAAAAAAAAATCACAATCATTAATATTTAAAAGCAGTTTTGTAAAACAGTTTTGGAAAATATTGTTCATTCAATTACCCAGGGTAAAAGAAACTAATACACCTGATCTACATACATAGTCAGGTCAAAAGGTTATATAGTTCAACTGCACGACAGTAGTGTATAGTTGTAAGTCTTCTAATTCGCTGCCTGCCATTATAATGGATTACTATGAATATATAACTACTCTATAGATTTTGAGTAGTAGGTATTGAAGAAAGAATAATATTATCAAGAAGACGTTTGATAATTATTATAAACTTCATTTTTTTAAAAAAAAGTAAAGTATTAAAGTCAGTATAATCAAATATATCATCATAAAATAAAATTAAAATAAAAAAGTAAAAGAAAATAGTGGAAAAACTTATAAATTCAACGCAGTCTAACTACAAATTTGTTTAATTCAAACTAGAATGTTGTAAACAGCAGAGTAATTAGAAAACAGTTGTTTTACTCGTATTATTCATCCAGAAGAGCGGTGTAACGCGTATAATAAGCATGTTTGAGTGTGATAACAAAAAAAAAAAATTAAATTACACCTATTCAATTGCACTGTTGCGCGTAAAACTGTTGGCATAAACCGTGAAACCAGCGCATTTTATAATTCTCGATTTACATAGTATGAAAAAACAACACGTCTAAATACAATGCACTACATTTTATGCTTGCGTGTGGCCAAATTTAACCCGAAAATTGCAGTTTTAAATTGCTACGTGATTTTTGAAGGGAAAAGTTTTGAGAATAAAATGCACCAACAATAAAATAAATAAACATTTATGAATACTTTTGAATGTAAACATTATATTTCGTAGAAAAATTGATACAAAAAATCATTATACAGAAATTCGAAGTGAAATCCATTGCGGCTGTTGTTTTCTAATACTAACAGTCGAAAAATTTAGCCCGCGGAACACCGGCTCTAAAAACGAGCAAATGATTAGCACGCCGTAATGTATATATTTTTGACCGAAATCATTAGGGTTCAATTGTATATATGCTTATATATATATATATATATATCTAATAATGTACAAAAAAGACATATTTAAAGATAATCGTGGTCACAATACAATATTTATACTATCACATAACGTGAGTATTGACATTTATTTCTCATTTGTTTTGTATAGACCCGATGACAACCATCTGAACATTAATTACTGTACGAACAAAATAGAAAAAATAACAACGCTACGGTATATGGTATATGCATCAATCAAAACCACTCGTATTGCAATGTATTGGGCGGCTCTCCTTGTTTAAATACGTATATGAAAAATGTTATAGTTATTCACTGTTGAGTAGGATATTATCGAATATCCTATCACCATAATGACTGATAACAACAGGTATAATACATTTGCACCAAAAGTGGATATTTCCCTTTTCCCACAATACTCGTTTTTACCAAACGATATTTTTCTGTTATGTAACCGTTCCCACCAAATCAATTTCTATATCACTTCACTACTTTCTGCCAATCGTTACATCCAGTTTTTGTCCATATTTCTTCAAAATTACTAGTACTAAACATGTGACAAACAAAACACAGGCAGCAATACATTTAATGATATATTCTCTAGCCATTCTTAATTGTTAAATCGTTCACTTTAGAATGATTGATTCTGCTTTCAAAATTTTTATTTTTGTATAATGCTAAGTATTCCAGTCAACAAAAGTATCAATATAAGTAACTAATTTGGTCAAATGCCTATTTCAAATAATTTTTTTGGTATCTGATCAATAATCCGAACTTTTGAATTTGATAATACCAAACTTACGTTAAATTAAATTGACTCCTAATTATTTCTGTTCTTAGTCAAATTGCAAGTACAAAATTTAAAATTGATTTTTCAAATAGGTGGTTACAATTTTGGATGATAAACATAGATCGATCGATGACTATTTATCATCAATTAATTTAATATTTTTTGGTTTATTGTTTAGGTTTATAATTTATAAATATAATGATGATATATTATTCTTTATATATATATATATATAATACTTCACCTCTTCGGTTTTTTTGCCGAGTTATTAAATTATTGTTTTCTTATTTTATTTTAATGTTAAAACAAGTCAATAAAATAAAATGCATTGCAGATTTTAATATAATATATATATATATATATATATATATAAATATATATACACACATAAAATATGTTAAATTAGTGAGTTGTGTAAATGAAAACGATTTGGTGGAAACAGATATCAGTCAAAATATAATTCGGTGGAAACGGGTATCGGTCAAAATGTAATTTGGTGAAAACGGGTATTGGTGGAAAAGGGAAAGGTACACTTTTGATGGAAGGATTGATGTTCCGCCCGATAAGAATATTAAATATGTTCGGCTAAAAAAGTCTATAGGTAAATATTGGGAAAATATTAGACTATATAGCACACGTACACCGATTTTATATAACTAATATTAATAATATAATAAATAAAATTGTTCATAGATAATATAAGCACTGCAAGTTCATCAAGCTGTGAAATCTTTGACACCACTAACTTTTACTGAACTAAAATATTCAGATATTTCATAAAAACCAATCTTTTATGGCTGAATATTATTCATATTTAAATTTGACGAACAATTGACTGCATTGATTAAATGATTTATCTGATAGTAATAGGTTTTGTAATTATATTTCAAATACATAAATTGTACAATGTACATTTATTCTATTGATTATACGGGTAGATAGTGAATAAATTATTGAAAAATTAAAGTTATCCATACGTTATATTTATAATCGCAATCTGCATAAAATGCATATCACCTGAATTTATTTATACTATCATACTGGATAAAGAAAGTGTTTGTAGTTTTGTAAATACCTATAGCCACCTTAACGCTATAATGAAAGATTACCCACTAATAGATATTAAATTATATTTATATTGATTATTTTAAAATCGCTGTACGCCATAAAACAATTTCAACTCTACGACGTTTAAAAATGTATTTAAAAAATACCACAGATACAGTTTGAAAATTGAAGGATGGCAATTGTAATATTATTATAGCGAAAGCACTAATTACTTATTAATAGCTAAATATTAAAATGTTGTATATAATATGAGTATTTAATTTATTTAGTATTTTATTCAATTAATAATAAAAAAGATAAATCATCTAAATATTTCGTATGAATATTATTGTTTAATAGTTATTATTATAAGCGTAAACAATAATAACTGTGCCCGAGTTTAATCATATCAAACAAGAATTAGATAACATATTTTTCCAACCTTTTTTTTTTTTTTATAAATTATATAATATTATCCCTTGGGAATTTTAGGCCAAGCACCCGAGTTTATTTAATTTTCGTCAGAGAAAAGTGGCTAATACCAGTCCATATACGGTCGTAAACACATCAAATGACAAACAAATCACGGATGAGTGTATTTTACGTTACTATACAAACAATCTGGAGTCTCTATATAAAAAAAAGTTTCAAAATGTATGCCCAAAAGGATGAACCAGTGGTCGGTATCTTCTGGTGGAGACCGTTAATCACGTTTGTGCAACGAGTGCGACGTATAGGCAACACGCGTGGCGGTGTGGCGGCCTATAGGATTGTAAATCCAATTATTATTACAAGCACTTTCCTAATTCTCCCGAGCCTACTCACTATATTTAAAAAAAACATATACATCGCCCACAGCTGTCGGAGGGAGGTGTAGTCAGTCGGTATATATATATATATATATTTTTTTTTTATTCTGATTTCCTTTTCTTTCTTCTTATTCTCCGCGTGATGGCGCAATCGCATCTATTTGATGTTCCCCGTTAAGGAAACTCCTCCGATAACTGAGTAGGTATATTACAATAATATCAAACGTGCACGCATAATCAACCATCACGTACTTATATTATTTTTATTTTGTTTCTAATGTACAGCACATTACATTTAATATTATACAAATATATAATATACTTGTACAACTTTATACGTGTAGCAATACATGAATGACGTCCATATCCCGTAGAAAGCGTATAGATTAAATATTAAGTCGGAAAAATTAAAGTCTTATTACATACGTTTGTATGTGACTATTTTATGTGACAACAGCGGTTCTCACACATCGTGTTAAAATAGTGACCTTGACCTACAGTAACACAGGTTTTTAAGAACAAGCACATTGGTCAAATTATGGGTGATAAATACGTCCGGAATAAGAATTCCTTTACACCAACAAATTAACTAGGACTGTATAGTATCTCAAAGTACAATTCATACCAATATAGTAGAATTTATTTTAAATTATTATCATTATGGCGGGCTATTGCTTTATGGATTTCAATCATAAAATCATACGTTGATACCTCCTATTATTATACACCACGTGTAACACTTATGATGGCTTTAGAAAACCGTTTTAATTTATCTCAAAATTTGATCTCAAGTATTTAACTATAGTGTGAATACTGTCAAGTCACAAGTATAATGTCACTACCTAAATAATTTTTGATCATAATTGAAAAATTAATTCTCAGAGAGCAAATATAAAACGTAATTACAGTGTCTCTTATTATTACAAACGGCAATGAACAAGAGCCCTATAATACATGCATATAATTATTGTTGCTCGCTTAATGAATAAAAAGCTATCATACAAAATATATTGAAAAATATTCGATTAACGTGCTAGTCTAATTTAGTTTTAATTTCATCAAAATACAATCATTAAAGATGAACAGATCTAGTCTATTCATAATGTTCCAATGTTATAT